GGGGGGGGGCAGGGGGCAGTCAGAAAAGGTCAAACACCTGGGGTTTATAAGAATTCCATAATTATCATTATCATTATTTCCTAACTACCATTTGCCTAACATTTCATAATATTGAAAATATTCCATTTTGATGTCTTTTTAACAATATAAAATAGGCAAAAGCTACTAAAGATGTTTGCAAGATGGAATATGGCAGATGCTGTCAAGTTCACTGTATGGTTTAGCTCGCACTGGTAAGTTTTACAAGGTCTAGGAAATGATTGCAGTCATATTATAGCAGTATAAAAGGGGAATGTAGGAACTCCCAAAACGACTGGATCAAGAAAGCTTTACAAAAGTGACATAAATATAGGGTTTAATTGATTCTTTTTCTAATCAACTTTTAAACAATTGACAGGCATAGAACAGCTGAAGAGAACAGGTGAAGAAATCTGAAACATTTGAAAGGTATTCGCCGACGGATGTGATCATGAGAATTTTCTTTAAAACTGGAAAAAGAAGGAAAACAATGGATTTATGGGGTCAGTATGATAATTTCTGATGCTGGTGAGGTAGAAGTGGGGCTGGCAGGGTTACTTATCACCCCCTACCTCCTCTACATGCCATTCAGTTACTGTGTCATCACTGTCCTCAGCCTGGAAGTTAAAATGTCCATCTACATCTATGTTTCCTTTTTTATGTATCTTATCTTCATAAATACTAGGGAATAATTAGGTAGAAAAGAAATGTGTTTTGTGTTGGGAAGATAACATATATCTACTTAAAATATCTACTATTGTTATAGTAATGTACTTAAAAGACACTGTAAGTTTGCAATAGCATGGTGACATCATTCGAGCTAATTCATTTACACAATTATAACACCAACAATTGAAGAAAAAGGAAGAAGTGAAGGACAAAAAGGTGACCCTTATGAGGACAGGGAAGTTGAAATGGCAAGTGCAACATAAAATTCTCCATGTGTTCACCTTGTAGATAAAATCCCTAAGGCAACATTACTGATCATAACAAGGATTTAGGTTACCAAGCACCTGCCAGACCAGACCAGGTTCCAGACCATTAAGTTTAGCCTGGATTAAGTTCAATATCAGCCATGGATTTAAAACCATTTCTGGTGAGCTCATAATCTGTTTGTGACAAGTTTCTTCATAATCTTTTGTGCATTATTATGTCACCAACAGAGCATTATTCCACCAATAATTTCTGTCACTGATCTTTATTTGTCTTCTCAATCAAAACCTATGGCCCATTATGTGAAATACATCACCCATTATCCAATGTGAAGATTTTCTGCCTTTTTCATCAAAGGGGGTGAAAAAGAGTACTTTTGGATGGCGTCTGACCACCACCTATCAATGTGTCAAGTTACTTACCTTGAAGTCCATGCAGAAGCTCAGATTTTATTTTTTTTCATTTATTCTTTATTCATCAAACAGGGTCAAAAAGAGTGTCTTTAGATGGAGTCATCTATTTGTATCCAGTTTAAATTGACTTACCTTAGAGTCCTTGTAGTAACTGAGATTGGATTGGCTGAACTCGAAGAAAAACTTGTTAAACCTTTTCTTGTCACTGAAGCGGAGTTCACTAAATGATGATATGTGAGGGTTGAACTGAAATAAATGATAATCATATCACAAAATCAGGAAATTGTAAAATTTCATGAGATTGGTAAGATTTTTTTCATTATATGAGTAAAATTATTAAGAGTAAAATTATGGACTAATTGACCAGAGTTTGGTCAATTTTTTTTTTGTAATTTACAAAATCATTAAATTTGGACACATATCTCAGTAAACCAACACTTGATCTAATCAACAACAAAATATTGATTTTTTCATATGTTCTCCAATGATGAATCAATCTACTGACCACCTGTTCTAGCTGTTCATAGATCACATTAGGTTTAACACAGAGATAACTGTTTCTCCCGTCCTCTTCTCCCCAGTGACTCCACCGGAACGTTACTGGCAGGGGCTTCTCACTGAAGTGGAGGGGGCGTTCTGAGAAAAAAGAAATATTGTTTTTGTCATTTTGATTTAAATTCATCTGCATAGTCTTTTGATTATAATTGCTTAAACTTTTCAATTTCTACACTAACTAAAGCTGTACCTCACAAAGCTTTTGGTCTATCATAATCTATCATATCTGCTGGGGGTCTGTTTATGATTATGAGAAAAAAAAAATGAGACACTGACAAAAGGAAAAGAGAAACATTTACTGGAAGATGTACAGAGTAACAACTAATTTTAACCTCCCAGTAAAAAGTATCCTCACCTAGCTGACCATCACAGATAACCTCAAAGATTCCCCAGTTTCCTGGTCGCAGCTTGGCCACTATCATGATCTCTGACAACAGTTCTTCTACAGTCATACTTGCAGGTACCTGAAATATACAGCCAACCAGATTTTACAGAGGTGGACAGAGGTCTTCTGGGTCTTCTGGAAGATTGTCAGAAGTTTTCAAGTTTACATTGATAGGTAACTAATTTTTCGTTAGAAAGCTGTCAAAATGGAGGACAAATCAACAAAGATAATTTGGAAGACTGTCAGAAAAAATCTCTGGATCTGTCCCTGTTTTAAGTGACAAAATATACAAAGACAATTAAAGCTTGACTACCATGTCCACCTCTGACAACTTTTTCTATAGCACAAATGGAAGCTGCCTCCAACATACTGTCCAAAATAACATCAAAACTGTATTATGCTACCATGATATAAAATGCTATAGAAAATGAGACAATGAATTAGTGGAAGTATGATAAAGAAAATAGCTTTGGTGTAAAAAAGTTATTTGTGGGATCTAAGAAATTATTCTCCTGTTGTTTTATGTTGTTCTAAGTTTTTTCATTAAAATGATTTTTCAAATGAGTATTTCATATCAGTCTAATAATTCCTCAACAGAAGCAATATGTGGAGGTGATACCGTACCTTGACCATGTGACAAGTGCCTGACTTGTCACCAATGTAGATAGGGATCATGAAGTCACCTGCCTGGGCCTGGAACAACGAGGACAGGAAAACAATTAGCAGATGTGTCACACTCACCAGGGGCGTAGAGGTCTCAGTTTCATAAACCAGAATTTTAGGAAATATCTTTTGAAAAATTATTTTTTTACATGAAATATGCAGATCTAAAAATTTCTTTTCTCACCTAATTCAAGATAACTTTGTAGTTCTTCAAAAATGACAAAAATATAAAAAAATTAAGAAGAAAACTACAATATATGGTATTCCAAAGTGGTTTTTGTTTCCATCATCTTGAGCTATAAATCTGGCCCTGAAGGTATCATTCACCTGAGGAGCTTGGGCTTTCTTCATCTTCTCCAAGGCTTCTTCTATTTTCTCTTCTTTTTCTTTGGTTGCTTTATCTACCTGTAAAGACAACAATTAAAAGTTTTAAGATTTTTGCATGGTGACATACTGCTGTTTTATTATGTTATACTACTATTGTAAACAGTTAAGATTCTCACTGTGTTATATAAACATTCCATTGTGCAATGTCATCTTACCATTGTGCAGTGTTATTTTACAATGTGCAGTGTTATTTTCCATTGTGCAGTGTTCTACTTACATCAAACAGCCAGTCATAATATCTAATCATGTCCACCAGCGTGGCTATCTCTTGCTGGGTGGTGTTATATTTCTGTCCTGTGTGGTCACTGTCCAGAGTCATCAGCGCGGGACCAAAGATGGACCCTAGGTTGACATCTGTCATCTTGTTCTCAGCATTGTTCTTGGCAATACTGTCAACAGACAAAATACAACAGGGATGTTATCTTTTCATTGATATTTAGGAAACACCATATTTTAGCATAACAATTTAAAAATACAATCTTTTAATGTTACCAAACTGGTTGAAAAGGTTTTACTGAAAGACTAACAGAGAAATATGTATTTCAAAATATGTAACATTGCATGCAACTGTCAAAAAGGTTTTTTATCCACTCATTCATCCATTAATTGAAAAAATTGAAAAGACATGATTTACATCACATTATGCAGGGGAAACTCCCTAAACTTATCAAAAATAAATGTCTCAAGGCTTACATTTGTAGGTGTAACAGCAGCTTCTTCAGAGTGTTGAAGTTCACCTTGGGAAGCTGTCCCAGGTGATATTTGTACCACTGTAACTTGCTGTTATGGTCTTGGTAAGCTGAAATAATAAATGATATACTGAGTAAAGATGATGGTTTAATTTTCTTGTTGTCGTTGACTGGGAGATGATCTATGTAACCTGCAGCACTGCAAACTCTTCCATCAACATATTAACAATATTAACATATTAGTCATAATTTTTGATTCCACAATCAATCAACCAATTATAAATTGAAAAATATCTCAGATTTTAGGCATAATACCCAATGGAGAAAACATTTAACACTGCAAACTTCCAATAACATCAAGCAGTCTATAAATCACTGACAATGAAGATTGAATTTTCAATTGATTAAATGAACAGATGATAATTCACCCTGTCATTGAACCACATATTCAATTAGAAGTTGAGAAATGTCTCAAATTTCCACACATTCTTTTACCTGCAGTCTCCACAAACTTTGGATAAAGGTCCCGCGTCAACAACGGTGCTGTCAGAGTGCGGAAATACCTCTTCAGTGCATTGGCCACGTCATGTACGCTGTAGTCATCTGCCTTCAGGTGGACTGATCTAGCATCTGAAGTGAAAATATAGTCACAGATTATTATCTATTTCCACCCTTTCAACTTTCTTGCTGTTTCCTTGCATAACAATTTAAGTCTAATTATCTGAAATGGCCCTTACTGTGCTGTTGGTTCTAACAACCTACACTAAATTTTCAATTCAAAAGATTGTTTGTACATTATAAGAGAATAGATCTATAATCACCACAACTTATCTAGAGACATGTGGATAAGAAAACCTTAGTAACACCCTAAGACGTATTAATGTTCTTTACTTTTATTTTTAAATGAAAAAAAATTCATTTCAATACAGAAGATTGAAGATAAATACCTAAGACAACATTTAAAATCTTTCTTCAGTACAAAGAAATTCATCTTTGATATAATATTCAACAGTTCTACATGTACCTCTTAACCAACTAAGTAAATAATAAGCAAGATGATGCCTATTAAATACAGATTCTTTAAGTATATGTCAGAATATCAAGCCCCAATAGATACCTTCTCTGAACGCCTCTAATAGATGTGCCACCTTGGAATGCGTGCCATTCAACCTGTATATACCCTCTGTAGTTGTGCCTGGAATATGGATACAAGATATAGATAAAGGATATGGATACAGGATATGGATACATAATATGGATACAGGATATGGATACAGAAAATAGATACAGGATAGTTCTCTTTGCCAAACACAATAGTTAAACACCTGAAGTGTCGTACAATGGAGCAACATAATCAAACAATCAAAATGTTTTTAACCAAGGTAAAGTTCACTTCTGTTAAAAAATACTTATGACACAGCATGAGATGAAGTGTGCTGCCATGGACTGATATAAAAATGACATTTTTCTCACGGCCAAACTACTGATTTTTGTACCAAATATGTCCTAAATTAGAAAAATATTGAATCAATCAAATATTTTTCTTTTCCTTTAGCTAAAATTAATATTTTAAAACATTAAGCAAGGTAGCTGAGTGCCTAATACCATGAGCTGAGATGAATTTGATACACTTGTCCACAATCACTGGGATGTCCTCTTGGGTCAACTGTTGCTCATCCAGTTTGGGGCCACTCTCCTGGAACATGGATATTCAATGAATTTATATATATATATATATATATATATATATATATATATATATATATAAACAAAAGTCCACAGTCCAATAAACCTGTTCCTCTTTGATAAAGAATACATATACTAAGATTTTCTTTCAAAACTGTTAAGACAAAGTTCATGCATAATTATAAGAAGCAGGCAATACTATAAATTATATTAATTTAATATCAATCTTAAAATCAAGGGACTATTTCCAGTGTTCTAAGACTCACAGTGGCTGCAGAGTGTATAATCTTCCACCAGCTTTCTGTATCCTTCTTCATGTCTGCTTGGAAATAGAGGGCTCTGAAGAGAGATAGGAGAACATGGACATTAGTGCTCAAGATACAGATGAAATAGGATTAATGAACAGCTCATGACTGCAAATTTGCAAGCCAATTTATTTTCTAGGATACAAACATTTTAGTCATAAGAAACAGCCATGATGAAGAAATACAGTAGCACCCATGCAGTTGCTAGGTTTTTATTTTAACTCCATTTCCATGGTGAACTCTATCTCCATGGTGACAGGAAATATGTCACACTTCATCTACAGTCCTCATTTTGAGCAATTGCAAAATCAACTGCAACACCACATTGATTAACGATTTATTTCTTGTATAATATTATTTTGTATAATATCTAGACCAATACACAAAAGCTATCTACCTCCCTGGCCAGTCAACTACGAACATCATTCCATTTTCATATGATTCATTGCAAGTTCCCTCCTGCTCCTCTGAAACATCAAATAACACTCTTTACATGCTGTGATCCACTGTTCTTAACAGTAAAATGTTTTATTATAAAACAAAAGATTACACATGCCATGTTTATAGCAACATTACTTCTCCACTGGACTTGGAGACCCAATTAATACCTTAAGATGACAAGAATATTACAATGTTATAACTGCATTTCAAAGGAAATAAACTTTTGCTAAAAAGAAATAAAATCTGTCATAACTAATGGTAGACAAAGTCTAGAACTAATTCAATTTCTATTATATATTCTCTACAACTTACTTAATCCCACAGCTTTCCTCAAGTCTACATAACTGGACTCCATCTCATGCTGAAAGAATATTACAACTATGGATACAGCACATGGATACTGAGTTACAGACGTTCCTATCATAATTTTTAATCATTTCATTGATGAAACAGCAATTATTCAACTTGAACATGAAAAACAAATCTGCAAATATTACAAATAATGCTTATCATGAAGTTGAATATTTTCAGACAGGCACACAATTAGAATTTTCTGAAATCCAAGAGTGAATGGGGCATTAAAATACAACTGTACTTCTTTTCATAGACACACTTAATTTTTTTCAATAGCTTTGAAAAGACGATTATAGATGAAAACTGATCATAAGTCATTACTTTGATTTGCAGACCGTCCATCCTGATGGTGGTGCTAGTTAACAACTCTTTCAGCCCCCTGTTAGCCATTGAAATGTTGACTTGTGGGAGTTCTTTTTCCCCACCTTTTTTGAGGCTATTGGAAAACAGTGACTATGATCCAACTACATAAATAATGAACTTATGTACTCCTACTTACCTCTACAAATAAGGCCAGCTGTCTCTCCTTAAGCTGGATCCACGTCTTCCTCCAGTCCTGAAATATAGGAATATCTCTTAATACTGTTTTTTAATAATAATGTTATTCATAACAACTGGGCAAATCAAGGTAATACATAGAAAATAAAGTATAACACTGGTTCACAACTAGGTATCATCTATCCAATGCATCGTATACAATACAGCAAACCTGAAATGATTGCTACTTCTAGAGATGGAAGAGAATGACGCTTTATTTTTATTTATTTATTTTTAAGAACAGTATCAGATGAAACACCCCAAATAATTTTGATGCAAAAATAAATCAGTGTAATTTTTTTTTTTAAATCTTGACTTTATTAAAAAATCAGGAGCTTAAGAACAATATCACGTGACTTACTCCTGTGGCACCCTCTCTGATAAACATCCAACCAGCAGCGTAGAAAGGCTGAACTTCGTCTATGGCAGTATATGGCACGCAACTCTGTCATGGTGGAAGAAAAAACAACACTGATATCAACAACTGCTGACTATGTCATATGTTTCATACCTCATACATACCTAGAGATGTTATGTGACTGTAGTGATATACGTTTTACTCAGTTTTACATAAATTATACTAAGATATAAGATTTATTCAGTTTTCCGCTTTTCTGTGAAAGAGAGTACTTTTCTTGGTATGTATGTCAAATTATACACTAACATCCTCTCCAGTATTTGATTTAATTTTCCATTCCTAAATAATAGCAGAAATAGCAGAAATATAAATATAAATATAAAAGCAACATTTGTTTGTGACAGTTCTTACTTTTGCTATGTTAGTAATCCACTCTGATATTTCTTCTTCAGAGTCCGTGGCAAACAGATAAACTCTGCCACCAGACTTGGTGGTACACACCTCAAAGGAATGCTCATATCTGGAGATAAGATGACTTTTATGATGACTTCTGTGATGAGAGAAGCGGGGAGTTACCATAGTGAAAACCAATGATGACTAAAAGGTATAATCCCTGATATAGAATTCTAAATTCTACACACACTGGCATAGGAAGTGGATTTTTTTTTTCTAAAAATTTTAATCATGGTGTATTCTATGTATTATTCGACATATCTAAAAACATACTTAATGTGAATTCATTATTTGACATCTTTCCAAAGAAATTTTACAGAACTAAAATAAAAAAATCTTGCAAGGGAAAAGATCTTATAAAATGTCAGATAATCTGCATTATTTCTATTTCCAGATTTACTCACTTTTCATTAGTGGTTCTGTTAACAGACATGATGTCCTTAACTTCTATGGTATCTTTGGCTACAATGGCCTGAAATTAAGTAAAAAGTAGTATAAACACATATACAATTGGATAAATGGTATTCCATTTCCACTATTCTTGATAAAAACTGGTGCAATAATAAATAAATAAATAAATAAATAAATAAATAAATAAATAAATAAATAAATAAATAAAAACCACCTAATATGACTGATCCAAAAATGTTTACATCATTAATTCATTTTTATTCTTTAAAGAACATCCAATAACTTTTTTTCTTTTCCCCAGTCTCACCTTCTGGTCGGCAAAGTAGCTGAGAGTTCCGTTCTCCAGCACACACCACCTCTTGAGGAATTCTGGAAATATTTTGTTTAAAATCAGTTTTAAAATTTTAAATAAATTTTCAAATAATACCTTCAGATAGAACAGTTTACATCCAATTACAAAAAACTCATGAGTTAATAAGTTCACTGACAACAAACATCCTTCTCAACTAAACAGTGCACTTTTTATACCACAATATCTAATTTTCTTTTTACAGTCATTTCTGCTCCCTAAAATACACAGCACACTCTACATATATACGTAAAAACTACATACAGTATAAGATGTGAAGTAAAACATGGCCTCCTACCTTTCTGATTGCTCCCAGTTTTATATAAATAACCTTTAAAAGAAATGTTTCTTCGAGATACACTAGCACCCTATGAAGAGAAAACAAAAGCTCATAGTTTGAATGAAATGTAATATCTAATATAAATATCATGTTTAAGGTAAAAATACACAATCATTGCATAATCAAGTTACATGTTGTAAAGATTTCACTTCAATTTCAAATCAATAGCTTACGCAGAACTTAATTTTTGAGATGAAAAAATTTTGAAAAAAATTGCTCAACTTGAAAAAGTATTCCATATACTTACAGCAAAACAAATATTCTACTTACTGAAAAACTCCCACTGCCACTGCCATTCATACCATCTGCACCATTTTGATATAAAAACTCCTGCAAAAATACAAAACATCTTTCAAAAATTTTCTAATGGTTCGTTCAATCATCTTATCACAAAAATGACCTCAAGAACATCTGGTATTTAAGGAGAAAAAATGAACTTGATATCTTCTGATCAGTTTATGGGAAAAGGTAGAAGTTGATATATTCTTGCCTGTGGGACATATCATTCATTTGTTGAACCAATTTGAAATCTTTTTTTTTTTTAAACCTATTTGAAATCTGACAGAATGTCCTCCGAACACAAAGAGAATACAAACCACAGCATATACCATGGGTTCTGTTGCCATAATACTTACCAACTGCACTGTCTGCTTTGCCAGCTTGGCAAGTTGTACAGCTGTAATACAGACAACAAAGATCAGCTGTTAATTATTTAATCAAATTACAATCTTTTTCTCTCTTTCTTTTCTTTTTATGAAAAAATAATTTTGTCAACTTGATAATCATTCCATCACAAATTCTACTCTACTTGTAACTGTGTCTTGTTAATTTTTAGACAGAAAGAGACTTTCTTATCTAATTTACTATCAACTGCAAATTCAAAAAGCACGGCTGAAGATGGCCCGGCTATAGTAATATTAGCTCACTAATTGGCTTTTCAAGTCTTACAAATTTGTAGTTAGATCAAAGCTATAGTCAACACTCACGTGTAAGGCTAGGAGTCCCAAAATATATACAGCTTGACTCATGGGTTGTCTATACAAATATAAAAAGGGAAAATGTACAATTCCTAAATCACATAACATTTATTTTAATTGAAAATTATTTCCATTATACACAGAAAGAAAGCCTAGGAAGGAATAACAAATAGGGAAATTTACTTCTAATTGCTATATCCTAAATCAAATACTACAGGCAATATTACTTATTAGTAAAATCTATAATTTCAAAATGATAATACTATTTATATTTCCCTCTCTTGAAGTGAAATGAGTGGATGTGCGTGTATATAATACAGAACTACTTTATTCCGTGGATTTAGCTTTCACTGAAGTCTGGTTTTAAGCTGGTATGGGAGTCAGGTTTGTAAAATATATTTAAAAAATGGTTTATATTTGAGGATTTTATATGTTGTGAGCAATGATTTTTATATAACTTATGGTGCTATAAAAAGCATGAGACAAAAACAGAGCTGTAAAATCAACCCTTGTTGATTCTAACTTACCTCAGCCCCGTGGAAGAGCAGGGACACAGTCTCCATGATATCATCTCTCTGAACTGACCGACACAGGGACTAGAAGATATCAGTATTATCATTTCTATATTATCAAACTTCTATAACTGTATGGTAAAACAATACAGGAAATGTATGCTTTTAACTTGGCACAGGGCTCATAATGCCAAGCAGAAGTCTGCCCCAACTAGCTCCAATATGAGACATAACTATTCAATAACAGTACAATAAAACAGAAGTCTTATTTGTCATTTTGACCATGACCCAAAATTAAAATAATACTATAAAAAGTAATACTATAAAAGTTCACTAATTGTCTGTTAAGCTACCTCATTCAAGGATTCTTGTTTCCCCTGCAGTGCATGGTCCTTGCAGTACATTTTACTCTGATATTTGCTCATGATGAAGGTCTGTCTTGTTTGCCTGAAACCAAACATGGCGTTTTTAGTTACACCTCAGAGAAACTAAAATCGTTCAAAACATCGATATTTAATGAAAAAATTAATGAAATTGAACAGTAATTTTTTTCTACACTTACGTATCTACATCTGGCTCCAGTTTATCTTCCAGTGGTAACTTCCACTCCCAGAAATCATTGGAATTATCATTTCCTATTGCCTGGAACATCTGTAACCACAATCAATATACAGATTTCAGAGGGAAAAAAATCACATTTTCACCTACAGCCAAGAGTTAAAGTTCACCAAATCTACTACACACAACTGTGGTTCTTTCACTCACTGGTGTGCCATTTTTGGGGTATAAAAATAAGTAAATATACCTCAAAGACCAAACAGTTATCTGGCTGATCTTGTCAGTAGTCATGTACTTGTCTAAGGTTGTGCATGTCTATGTACATTTTAAAATAGTTCCACACACCTACCCCTGTACACATGATTATAAGCTCCATGCACAAATATCCAACTGTCTTCTGGACCCTGGATTTCAGTTTTGGATGGCCATAGTTTTCAGATTTTTATCACCAGAGCAACTTTGGTTTTAAACAGACATATTTTTACCATCACAGATCTCTCACCGCGGGACAGCTGTCTATATTCAGGGTAATAACACTCACCTTGACCAGTGAGGTGGACCACACCTTGTGATCCATCCGTAGAGACCGCACCTTGGAGACGGAAGTGCCCAGGTGTCTGTGCACTCCTGGAAGTGGATTTAGAACATAAACTGAAAACTTCCATCCCTCAATGTCAAACACATGTTACAATTACTTTTTATCTTGTACATCTGAGAAGACAATGGAGTTTAACAGAAGCAAACTATCCTCTTTGGTAATGCAGTACACACATGGTTTTGGGTTGTAATGAAAGGGGGAAGAAATGGCTCGGTGACCTTACAACTGTGTCTGAGGCTGCTTGGTGAAGTTGGAAAGTGCCAAGAAAAACAATCTGAATCTGAAACTAACATGAACTGTGTTGTTGTATTTAATCCAAAGAGACACCTACCTGAGCAGCTCTTGCACAGTGTTATCCCCAGATTAATGGACGCCCAGTGTGGCTCGGGGGCACTACAGTCTGCACACTGCTTGTTACTTCTGTTCTCATAGACTTGCTTTAAAACCTAGGTCAGAAATCAGATACACAACTATAGCAGTTGGAATTCCTGAATACACATCAGTATTATGAGATGTCACAAAAGCAAAGACTGCTGCAAAATGACACATCAAAATGTTAGAAAATATAAATAATATCTTGAAGGGTATTCAAACAATGGACAATATTATTCAAATGTAGCATAGTTATAATGGTATGACAGTAACAGCAAAACAGCAACAGATTAACACCACAACTTTAATATCTTGACACTGACAATGACACTGATAATATCATTATATTACAATGCCAGTATAATAAAGTAAGTGACAACATCAGTATTAAGACAAAGTTACCGTATCGTCTGACAGGCCTTCAGCGATGGCTTCTTCCATAGCCTCCCGCCATTGTTGGAAGTCCTGAACGCTGTCACAGGTAAACCTGGAAGTGGACACAGATTAATTTTATTCATACAGTCACCATTACATTGGTGTGATGGCACATTTATTCTTAGCATTAAGTTCCATTTTTTCACCAAACTGAAAAATACAGTTACATTGAAAAAATGTGTAATCAGACAGCCATTTTATTCTTGTAAAATTTTATTTAATGCAATACAGTCCAATACATTAATAATAATGATAACAGAATGTAGCAAGAAATATACTCACAGAAAAGAATGATAGTTTGTAATGAGCTGTATTTTGTTTTTGCCAGCATCTTTGACAGAAGCAAGCTGCATTTCTATTTCATGAATCGGAGATGCCACTTTAAAATCCTGAAAAGGTACAAAAATGGAATAATTTTAAATAATATCTGTTTTGAATAATTAACATGACATCTGTTGTGGTGGTGATTTGTTTAGCTGGTTAAGTTTCTTTTGTTTTCAAGTATTTTTTTAACTAACATTTCTAAGATATTTCAGAGAAAAAAATCTTGTCCATATCCAAACTGCAATTTGCAAGAGGTTTATAACACCAAGGTAAAGTATGTATTATCCTATCCATCATCCTTTTAAATTTCAATGTGCTTTACTCACATCATAATTGTTATAATAGCAGAGCTTGTCTCCTTTGATGGCAATGTAACATTTGCCCTTGGTTCCGTCCATCTTCAGGAATCCTTCCTTGTCAGGTCCCGCCATGTCTCCACCTGGTATTAACATGTTACACTCCACATCCTACAATATATGATATCTAACTACAACCACAATAATTATATATATTACACAATTAATACAGAATGCAATCTAATAATCCCAGAACTAAATAAGGGACCATTCCCAGACCCTATCATACTAACTGTGGATAGATCTAACTCCAAGGAGATTCTCGCTAAAATGCAATCAACTTAAGAGGCTTAGATGTCTGTCACACTTACTGAAGCTGTTAGGGGGTAATTAATTATCCTTTAGAAGTTTCATTAGGCGTGCCAGACATCTAAGTTGCTTAAGATGAAAGCCATAAACCCCTCAAAGATGAGTCGATGCTGTTAGATAGATCTAGGTATTGGACCTCAGTCTAAAACTTAAAAGTTCATGCAAAAACAAAACAAACAAAATAACTCTGTTGCGACCTCAATACCAAGATAAGATCACTGTACCTACACTATGATACCTCACCTTGTATTTTATAATGGCCTGTAATAATGTACTGCTCCAATATGTCAAGTCATCTAGAATAAAAAAATAATGGTCTCAGTTCTATGTAGATACAGTATTTTTTTCTTATATGCAAAAAAAAAAACAAAAAACAAAAAAAAAAAAAATGTTCATGTGGACAACAACAATGCCAGGTGACAAAAAACACTTTTTGTGTTAACTCTTCAAACAGGATTTAAACTCCCAGTGTGTATAGAAAAGTCATTTTTATGAATTGCATCTTTTTCTTCTTGTTGTAATCACCACATATTTGTCATTTTGTTATACACACACACATTTTTTTTCTGTTTGACAGGTAATAAGGACTGCCTCTCAAGTAAAACACCTTTAGTCATCCTTTGAGGCAAAACTTTCTCAGCAGCTGCTTCCACAGAAAACATCTTCGCTGCCAAAATACTTGAAACACCAGCTAATGGTGCAACAAGTCATAATGAAGATAAAATGCTACAGATATCATTTTACTTTTTTAAAATAGTGATTATATTTTGGTTATTTTTTTTAACTTACCTAAATCCTCAGCAGCAAAGATGAAGACACGGTCAAGAGTAAAGAGCTTGAAACGATACTGCTTTGACTCTCCTGGCTGGAAGTATAATGAGAAATGAAATGAGTTCTTTTAAACACTTCTTACTTCCAAAAATCGCAAGAAACACCTTCTAGGCAGCAATTCCCAAAATATTTGCCTGAAAACATAAATAGTTTATAATGCAAATGTCTTTAAAACTGACCTAAATACTATAAATGTACTAATAGCAAAAACATTTTTTTTACAAATTACTTCAACACTTTGGTATATTTGCACTTCAATTTAATCAAATGGTGATTTAACTTGGTATCTGGCACACCAACTACAAATGAACAAACTTGAACATCTATCAATTTAAGAAAAGACAAAACCAAGAGCAACAGCTCAACAATCATCAGGTATTGCAGTACACAATGTCATGAGAAAGCAATTACGGCACTTAATCACATCCCAGCTTTACAATACATCCTGTGAGAGCCGTCACCTCTATCCTTCATTGTACCAAGAAGTGACACTAGTGTCGATAAAGACAAACTGTCTAGCTTGTCATGAAGTAAACCAAAGGCTTAAGGTCAGTTTTTTTTTATATACTCAAGGAATATAATAAACATAAAGTTAACCACCAAGACGCCAGTGAGCACAGACTGCCATGAAGTTTACAGACTTTATGGTTATCCAGTGTAATGTAGGTGATCACTTAAATTGCACATATCAGGAGATACCTTTAAAAGTAATTTTTATACTACCAATGAATGAAAATAAAAAGAAATAAGAATTTTAATTCATAAAGCCATTGTTACAACACCTATACATCTAAGACTTACCTCTTCCACCCCTCATGTCTTAAGCTTCAGAAATATGATTGATTATCAAGTTGGGATACAATATATCAATAACAATTAGTTGTAAAACTCACCTTATCTAACAGTCTATAATATATTATTATTATACTATATGAAATTTATCTCAAATGGAAGTATTGGAGTTCAGGAGATAAACATCAAATATCATTCAAATCAGGTCAAACTTAAACCAGAGATATTTTTGTCCCAATTTCAGTCCAGTTGTAGCAATAAAACTTGGTTCAATACTTCCTCAACAGACCAATAACTATATACAAACATCAGATCATATAAAACATAGCACAGGTATGTGACTCTGCTGTCATTCTCCATTACCTTATAACAGAGACTTATTCAAGACTGACAATGACTGTCCGTTCATACCAAATATTTTTATTTTCAAAATATGATGTCTATCTGATATCTGAGAGATCTATTCTTCACTCCCATGTTTTACATTAAATTGCAAGATGAAGGGTATGATGTTTTTAGAAAAGAGACTAATGTACCTCTTTAGACAATAATGTTGTTGTAACTGTACCTACCCTGACATCGTTCTCCACATTCTTCATCACCGCCATAGGGATTATTCTTTTGGAGACTTTACTCTGGAGAATTTGATAAAACAAATAGTTTTAAAGGACACAACTCCTTTTAAAATTATCATCATGATAGCATTGACCAATTTCAAGAAAGCGACATAATTCTTTTTTTTAATACCTTAATATG